CCCATAATCTCCTTGATCAGAAAATTTGGGATACTACCGAGTTACATGATGTTATCCTAAACACTTTTCAATTCTCTTTTTCCCTCCTGGTCTCCATCTGCACCTCCATCCTCCCAGCCCCTGCTGGGTTTTGTTGCTCAGATTCCTGCAGCATCTGGCAGCTTTGCTGACATGGTTCCACCTTGGAATCCATTCTCTCCCTGCTTCCCAGCTGATCTCCTCAAAGAATAAATCTGAGATCTGTGCTTTTCCTGCAACCTCTGAAGTCTGTGCCTGGGAAACAATCTACACATGTATAGGTTGATGATATTTGGCTTATGATTTGGCTCATGTATGGTGTATGATGTATTTGGCTCACGTCTGTGCCTGGGAAACAATCTACACACATATTGGTTGATGATATCATGCTCACGGAGTGGGGCCCTCATGATGGGGTAGTGGGTTTGGAAGCAGAGGAAGGGAGACCCAAGCTGGCATGCCCACTCTGTCCCGCCCTGCGATGCCCTCTTCCATACTAGGCTGCACTGGGAAGGCCCTGACCAGAGGCAAGCATTTTGTTATTGGGTCTCAAGTGTCCAGAACCATAAACTGACTTCTCTGTCTATAACTCAGTGGTAGAGTATATGAAAAGCACTGAGACCCACACACTCCTCATGATTTGTCTTTCAGCTTTCCCCATGTCTAAAAATCTCAGAGCAAATTTCTCTTTGTCTTTTGAACAAATCTAAACCACTTATCCTGGCACACAAGGCTTGGAGGATCTGGCTTCTGCCCTCTGGCCCAGCTGTATCTCTCTCTGTCTCTCTTTCTCGTACTAGGAATCAAACTCAGGACCTTGCGTTTGCCAGGCAGGTGCTGTGCCACAATCTCTCTAAGCCTTGCTACTAGCAGTTTGCATTTCAGATGAATTTGGGATGCTCGAGTGCTTAGATTCTCCATGTTCCATGTGGACCTCCAACGTCTGACCCACCCAGTGGGTACATTTTCTCCTCCTGGGATCCTGTACTCTCCGAAGCTGGGGATTAGGGATGTAGCTCAGTGGCACAAGTGCCTGCCTGGCAAACATAAGTCTTTGAGCTCAATTGCCAGTACCCCAAAACAACAACAAAAGTAAATGTACTCTCTGAAGCTGTCTTTCTTCTCAAATTTCTATCATAGAGTTCATTTATGGTGAACAGTTTCTCTCATTTTTCACCTAAGGGCACACCGGGGGACATCCACTTTATATTAAAAGCCACTTCCCATGTTCTGGCAGATTGTTGGAGGCAGCAACACTCATCAGGTGACTGTTGAGA